ACAGAATCTCAGGCTCCAGGCTCTGAGTGGTCAGCACAGAGCCCGATCTGGGGTTCGAACTTGGGACCAGTGAGATCATGACCTTGGCCAAAGTCGGATGCTTAACCGACTGAGCCACCCAAGCACCCCAACCTCTTACTTTTTAAAATGTATGAGAGAGATAGAGAGAGAGAGATCAGGGGAGAGGCAGAAGGAGAATCTCAAGTAGGCTCCAGACTCAGCACAGAGCCTGGTGTGTGGCTACAACCCTGAGATGACCTGAGCCAAAATCAAGAGCTGGACATGCAATCCACTGAGCCACCCAGGAGCCCCTAATATCTTTTAAAACAATGTATAAAGCATTAAAAAAAAAAAAAAAAAAAAAGAACATTTTCTTACTAACTTCATGGATAGAAGTGCAGGATATCAATTGTATTTAACTTTTGGGAATGTAGGTTGTCAAAATTAGTATTCTCTGCTTAATTACATTAGGTTCTCCCATTTGATATAAAGCTTTGAGTATTATAAAAATAAATGTAAATAGCAGAAAAATCAAACAAATGAAGCAGTTAGATTTCCAGTCCACATAAAATACCAGGTATCCCCAAATGTTAAGAGTGAGGCTCCTAATCAAATCTTTTAGATGAGTAATCTAACCCTCTAGTGGATTCACTTGGCAGTTATCTGGTTTTATTGTGTATACCACACTAATAATGCCTATTTTTTCAGAAGCCACATTTAGATCTTTAGACCATCTCAAATAAGTAGCTAAATGTGTTAACCATCAGTAGTGTCTTAGTCAACAATTAGCTGCATCCAAGAAATGAAAATCAGCTTTTACTAAAACATTTGCATAGCAAGGAAAAACACCAAGAAACCTTTTAACTACACGTAAGTATTCAAAAGGTATATAAATAAAATGTAGAATTTGTACAAATAAAATTATAGGAAGCCTTCAGGCAAAAAACTGTCATCACAGGGCAAAATACCCAGGGAAAAAACAAATTAGTTCTATTACAATGAATTTAACATCAGTTAGTGGGTTTAAAACTGTAACATTACCCTGGGAATGCAAGCTGGTGCAGCCACTCTGGAAAACAGTATGGAATTTCCTCAAAAAACTAAAAATAGAACTACCCTACAACCCAGCAATTATACTACTAGGTATTTATCCAAGGGATACAGGTGTGCTGTTTCGAAGGGACACGTGCACCCCAACGTTTATAGCAGCACTATCAACAATAGCCAAAGCATGGAAAGAGCCCAAATGTCCATTGATGGATGAATGGATAAAGAAGACGTGGTGTATATATACAACGGAGTATTACTCAGCAATCAAAAAGAATGAAATGAACTTGCCATTTGCAACTACGTGGTTGGAACTGGAGGGTATTATGCTAAGTGAAATTAGTCAGAGAAAGACAAATGTCATATGACTTCACTCATATGAGGACTTTAAGAGACAAAGCAGATGAACATAAGGGAAGGGAAACAAAAATAATATAAAAACAGGGAGGGGGACAAAACAGAAGAGACTCAAATATGGAGAACAAACTGAGGGTTGCTGGAGGGGTTGAGGGAGGGGGATGGGCTAAATTTGGGTAAGGGGCACTAAGGAGTCTACTCCTG